ACGAAATAAAATAATTTTCGAATTTAATTCATAATTACACTGTCAGATATGTATAACAGTTTGTTAATTAATGATTTAACATATCTACATGTTAGTAGATGTTGTTGCAATTGATGGATGATTTGGTAGAACTGAAATCAAGCAGATTTCAAGAGCACTTTCATAATACTTCAATGCTTTAGCACAATCATGTCGTGCATGATACACTACTGCCATGTTATTATATGTCGTTGCAATTGATGGATGATTTGGTGCTCAAATTCGAATAATTTTCAAAATTCTTAGTTGTTTCTTAGGAATACGAAAAACGAAGACACATTCTCTTCGTGTCGAGATTTCGTTTTCAAATCAGTTCTTTCTCTTCTTCTTTTCGAGAAAACTCAAAATCTCTCTGTCTTTTTCATCGCTCACACTCGCAGAAGGAATAAGACCAAAAGAATAAGAAAAAGGAATCAAATGTAAAATACACAGATACCAAACGCAAACATTGAGTGTTCGTTCACTTTAGTTTATCTCGTGTTACTGTTCAAGGTTTGCATTAACTTTGTCTTTGCATTAACGGCCATCTTCCAAATGGACACCGCCCAAAACGGAAAAACGGTTTTGTTTGATTTTAAATCTCCGTCAATTTATCAATAAACAGCTGAAAAAAAAGTATTGATAACGAATATAAAGTTAATACTAGAGAAAAACCCCGTCAATTCCGCCGCAACTATCTGCGGTCATTCAAAATGTTGGCTTCAATATCGATATTGATGAATTTAGTGAAAATGTAAAAGAATTATATCCAGAAATTGTCAATTTAGTTCGATTAAAAGATCGTACACAACGCGATTTAAAACTGATAAAAGCCGAATTTAATTCAGTGACTGCTCGCAATGCAGTATTACAAGCCAAGGATATGACAGTGAATTATATGCGATTTCAAGTAGTAGAATATCTAGCACTGGCTCGTGTCCTAGTCTGTTCTCGCTGTATGGGTATAGGACATTTCCAGAAAAATTGCCCTCAAAAAGATCAGGTTACATGTAAAACCTGTGGAGAAAAATGTGATGATATTAAAGATCATGCTTGTTCTGGTATAGCCAAATGTATTCATTGTCAACAAGACCATTGGTCAAATGCGACTAAATGTCCTATCATCAAAGACTATCGAGCAGCGCTTACGAAAACGTTAGTTGCTCACCACAGTCCGGCTGTGAATGAAATACCGTACAATATGAACATTATGAATTTTCCTACACTTCCATCTAATGATAGTCGCAATGCAGTGGCACCTACTGCCCCGTGGGCACCACAACCACAAATGCAAGGTATAACATTTGATCTACAGACGGATATGATGGCTGGTCTAATCAAACATATCTCAGACGAAGCGAATAAAACACGCGAATGTCATGAAAAGTTTATGCAAGAAATGATCAGGAGAGATGAAGAGCAAAAACAGAAAATTAAAGTACTGGAAGATCGTATCGAAAAATCAGAGAGAGAATTTGCAACGTTACATGAAGACCAGAAATCGAAAGTCAAAAAATTAGAAGATCGTGTCGAACAATTACAACAAAAGAATAAACAATTGGTGGAGAATTGTAATATAGAACTTCATGAAATTACGGGTAGTCTGGTCGATCTAGGACGTATGGTAACGTGTCCGGACCCAAAAACTAGAGGAGAAATTCTTTTTGGACTCCAAAATTCCTTTTCAGAATTCAGCCAGAAGTACAAATTAACATTCTCTGATATAACTTGGAAGACATAATGATGAACAATATAGCTGATAGCGAGAAAAACGTGACCAATAAGCGAATTTGTGACTTGATAATGAAAGATGCGAAGCAATTAATACCAGAAAAGGAATACACACTATTACAAACAATTGTAGATGAATGGAATAATTCATTAGACACTGACGTATGTCTTTCGAGCTGGCATTCATCAGGAAAGTCAAAAGCAAAATCGACAGTATCGTTAATGCATATGTTATGTTTCAATGTACGCGGTCTCGACCTTAGATGGGGCGAAGTACTATTTCTAACAGCATTGCAGAATTCCGATATAATTACCTTAGGAGAAGTTGGAAAATTCGACAAAGGTACCATAACCGCTGCTCTTCCTTCATATAATGTCTTTTATCAGAAAGGAGAGAATTGTCACGGAGGAGTTCTTGTGTTAGTAAGAGATACTATCCGAAGATCTTGTGTTGCATGCTTCATACCGAATGTATGCGTATTAGATCTTCACCTAGATGAGACGATTAGAATAATTGGAATGTATGCTCCCGAAAGCAAGTCATGGCAATGGGATGAAATATCACCTTTCATTTCCACTAGCTGTATATTAATGGGGGATTTCAATATCGATCTAGACAAAGATGGGGAAAATGCGGAACATCTGCTTGATTGGGCAGTTAGTCAATCACTTGCAGCAATCACACCAAATTGTCCTACTTCTTTAAGATCAGACCGTGAAATTGACTACGCGCTAGTTACTGGTGTACAATTGACAGTGCAAGCGTATACTGGTAATACGACAAGTGATCATAAACCAATATTTGGTGTACTAGCTTATGAAAATACAAAAAATAGCACTGAATGTCTAACGTACTGGAAAGTATTCTACTTTTTCCTATCGTACACGCATGTTTATTGGGAAACAAGGTGGGCAGATAAAAAATTTAATGAAAATTATGATAAACTAAATCAATTTCTTGTTCTATTAGTTGAACGATGTACGAAATATTTTCCAATTGAAATGGCCCGTGGCGCCATACCCAAAGAATTACGCAAAATGCTCTCCTACAGTCGTGCTCTTGGTTTTCAAGCAAAGAGAACAGGTGATGAACGACTTAGTGTCGAATCAACAAGAATTAGAAATGCAGTACGTAGTGAACTCAAACAATTTAGACAAAGTCAATTAGTAAAACAATTAGCAGAAAGACATAAACCTGGAAGAGGTTCAATGATGTTTTGGAATAGAACAAAAAAACATTTTTGAAATTGCTCTTCGTCTCTACGTGGATTTTTACTGCCCAGTGGTGAAATGGTAAAAGAACCATCTAAAATGGCTGATTTAGCCGCTGATTATTATGAAAAGCTCTTTGAAGAGCCTGTTGTATATAGACCGCATCCGTATGTCGACATCCCCTATGATGTATATGAGGACAGTCAAAGACAAATACCTAACATATCCCGAGATACTCAAAGTATTAAAGTCGAAGAAGAAAAAACGTTCGTGCGATATACATGGTCTCTCGCCATTCATTCTTGGTAAAATGCCCGAAAATTATTGGCATTTAATGGTAGATTTCTACAACCACTCCTTTCGAACTTGTCAAATGCCAAGTAAATTCAAAGAAGTTAGAATGGCGTTGTTAGCCAAGAAAGATGCTATCTGTAAACCTGATCAAACTTGACCAATTTCATTAATTGACAGCTTCCTGAAAGTACAGGAACGACTGTTTCTCAATCGATTCTTAGAAGTAATCAAAGCGAAAGGTCTATTACCCGATTCACAGTCAGGATTTCGAATGGAACATCGGCTACAGACTAGAGTTCTATTACTAATCGAACAAATACAGTCATATATATTGTAAGGATCCTCCATTCGACTCTAGAAGGTAGAGATCTAGCCATATCTCGTTCTCAGATCCTTTCGAGTCTTCTTTCCTCACGATTTCTTTCTTTATTTTCACTTACAGTTCTTTATTTTCACACGACAGTTACTTTTCTTT